AAGTGCTTTTTGTGCCTTTGGAAGTATATCCCTGAGCCAAGTATCTACTTGGTGCTGTTTTGAGAATGGAGGACGTTATCAGGATTGACTTTTGATGTCTCTTCCCATATGCTGACCTCTGACAACTGGCGACAGAATTGTATCAGAATGTTCACTTCAGAGATTCTGTTACAGTTAACTTAATTGCATATCTTTATTTTCATCTTTTTATTTGTACCTAGAAAATTACTGTCAGAGAAACCTCATCTTTTTACTTCAGCTTTCATTTTGACAGCAGCAAGGGTAGTACTAGCTATTTCTGTAGCCTGTTTGTAAGTAAATCTCAGATGTATTCATGTTTCAGATGTTCCCTCTATCTTATAAAACATGACAATAGTATGTGTTTTGTAATTATAAAGCTTTAGAAACCCAGACATTAAAACTCAGAAAGACTTTAAAACATTTATCCTAAAAATTTGATGAAGGCTTTTAATTTTTATCTGCTACATTAACCAGGCCATCATTTTGAGCCTTTAAAATTGCACTTTCATTTTATTTTCCAGTGCAGTTTAGATCATCACTTCACCATCCAAGGTCCTGATCCCATGAAGACTCGAACACTTGTTTAATAATGCGTGTTTCAAACAATACTACTGATTTATTACTCTTCATTAACTGTTACCTGATTTGAAGACAATCAGATACCGGGGCCTCTGCATTAATTCTGCAGTATTTGCAAACAGAGAAATGATTTGCAGGTGTAGCACAGCACAGCAGTTAATCACACTTGCAAACTGCAGTGTGAAGTGTGATATTGTATAGCCATTTATAGCCTGAGTTTTTAAGAGCTGTAACTCTGCTTTTGGCTTGGCTAACTTCCATGGCTGTTGTAGATTACATTTGCAATCAAATTGTTGCCAAACTTCCACTCAGTGTTAAGGTCATGTTTACTACTGCGCAGCTGCATAGTGAAGAGTTGCAGTAAAAGCAAAATAAATTTAAGACTATTTGAGGAGCAACTCTCTATGGGAATGGAGAGCAAGTGGATGTTGGGGAAAAGCTCATATTGACTGTAGACCAAAGCAGAATATTTTTGGCAGCATTTAAATTTTACTGTTTCATTATAGCTGATGTGTTCTTGACTGCAGCTCTAATAAAAACAACTTGTGCATGTTCTGAGTGCTGTTTAAAAAGAACGTAGATGTAAGAAAACTGGAGTCTGCAGCTGTCCATATGTGGTGTTGGAATGGTGCAAGGTTTTCATCTATTAGCCAGAGTGAGGAGCCTCCTAAAAACCTCATGCACATTAAATTTCTGGCACTGCTCATGAAAAGAATGCTGTTGGAACACTTGAGGACCTGTTGCTGTTCAAGGGAATGGCTACAAAGGTTAATGTGGTCCTTCCAGATGAGGGTTAAAGTATACTACAAATGAGCTGCACTGGAGCTTTCATTATGACTTGACCATTCTGGGTAAGATACCCACACCCATACCCCCTTTTTTGTTTTAAAATCTTGTAGATAGATTCATTTTTGCTGGTGTGGATGCCAGTAACTCTTTGAGCTTAAAAAAACCCAGAAAATCATGGCTGGGGAAGGACTATTACTACTGCCACTGACATTTTGAAAGCCTTTTTTAACTAGCTTTAAATAACAAGGTGTATGCAGTGATGATCAGCTGCATTTGACAAGCAAAATTCTCCAAACTACTAAGTTTTCTGTGTGAAAACAGACCACAGAGCAGAAGAGAAGGATTTCTGTATTATCCTTACATGAGGAAAGAGATAGGTTTATATCTTTCATTAAACACCAAAAATCCTTAGGGGACCAACACCTTATTGTCCCACTTGTATAAAAGCTTCAGCTGGAATGCTCAGCTTTTTAAGGACCAGTCAATCAAATATAGACTATTAGTGTGCAGGAAACCAAATTTCTTTATTTCCAGTACTATAAACATTTTTGTTTTCCTTTTCTGGAAAGTTGATTTTGAAGCTGGTTTGTGGGGGTGTGATCATACTATCTTTGTGAGGTATTGGAAATACATGTGCAAAAGTTCACAGAACACTATTAGAACTGGAGATGTAATTGAGTTTTGGCCTGACTCAGTACGGGTTGTATGCTCTCAAATCTCAGTGAACCTGGGTGGGATCTGAAACCTTCTCACACCTGGAGTCAGTTCTTTTTCTTACTGTCAATTTTGCTGATCTATTTTTGTTTTGGTATTATTTCTCTTTATAGACATGATGAAAACTAATTTGAAATAATTCTCATTCTTACTGTGGTGGGTTTACCCTGGCTGAACACCAAGTGCCCACCAAAGCTCTATTACAACCCTCCTCAGCTGGACAGAGGAGAGCAAAATATAACCAAAGGCTCATGGGTTGAGATAAGGGCAGAAAGAGATCACTCACCAGTTACTGCCACGGGGAAAAAGACTCAGCTTGGGGAAATCAATTTAATTTGTTAGCAATTAAATCAGAGTAGGATGATGAGAAATAAAAAAGATCTTAAAACACCTTCCCACACACACTCCCTTTTTTCAGGCTTAACTTTACTCACAAATTCCCAAGGTGCAGGCACTTTTGTAGTCTCCTGCTCTTATTTGTTGTACTCAAAGTATTGAAAGTAAGAGCACTTTGTGTCCATTGCTGTTTCACAGATATAAATTACTCAGAAATGGCAGTGTATCACATAGACTGTTGTAAGTCTCTTTTATGACACAGGCTAAATACCTTAAAGAAAGCCATTTGAGGTTGTAAAACTTAAAATTATTTCATGACTTCAGTAAAGCTGAATGTATGTTGCAATAATATCCAGGGATCATATGAGTATTTCCTATTCCATGGAAGTGAGCTTCCAAAACAATGTGTTGACTTTGCTTCTGAGCTGGAGGCGCTGTAGTTGCCCAAGTTCAGCTTTCACCTTCAAACAGAACTCTAGCTGAAGCAGAAGAGTCCTCGTAACTGTTCTGTTTTTCTGTGCTTGCTGCTTGTATTTGTTTTGCCAGGCACTCATGTCCTCTGGAGACCGTGGTTCAGCTCTCCAGTCAAAATCTTGGTAAGCCTCCTATGCAAGAGTAGCACAAAAAGGAACCATACTAGGATAAAAGGTCTGGGACCCATTAATGTTCAGGTTTAAGCAGATATGTGATTTAGGAAAGATTGTACTTCGCAGTTTGTTTTTACTGATTTGGAATAAGAAAAGGTTGAGACCAGTAAAACCTTAGGGAGCCAAGTGATTATTTTAACCTTCCATCTTGTTAGGAAGTAATACTTTGAATGAAAAAAAAAATCATACTTGATGTTTATCACTTATGTCTATGAGCCATAGCAATTTTACAGGTATGATAGAGGTAAGCAGTTTATATAATGTTACTTAGTTTTTTACAGTCTCAGTTATGAGCTACTACTTACAGAGCTCTTAAAATTAAAACAGGTTTTTGCAGAAAAAAATTTTGTCACAAAATTTCTGCCTTCTAGATCACACAAATTAAGCATCCCAAAATTCAAGTTAACTCTTTGTGTGTATATATTTCAAATTCACTAGATATACTTGAAAATGAAAATGTTTTTTGGTTAATGTTTTAGTTGGCATGTGTTTTTCCAGTCTTTATTTGGAAAGTAATTTTAGATGGATCTTTAGTATTAGGTGATGCTTTAAATAACAAGAGACAATTTTCCTTTTTCAGAATGTTCCAAAATTTTTCTGTTTCTTTTAGTGTTCATTTTTCTTTCAAGTCAAGTAAAGCAGGTAGATGCTTAGCAATTCTGAAATTCAGACTATATATCTGGGTATCTAGCTTTGGTTAAAACGTTGTGGATCAGTTTATAATACTGGAACTGAAGTGAAACCAAGTAATTATTGTTTTCCAGATGAGTTCTAATTAGCTACCTTATACTCTGTCCTTCGCCTTCTTATCTTAAGGTTGACTCCAGAATTTTGTGTTTCTCATTTGCAGTTTCAAGTTGTAGGACAGTGATTGTTTTCAGAATCTTTAAAAACTCTATCATTTCTTTTCAAGTGCAGAAAAAAAAACCCAAAACAACCCCCCCAATAAACCACCCTACTTAAAGAAATAGAAGTCATAGAAGGAATTTATAGAAGGCATGATATCATTATTTTAACTGACTACAAGTCCTACTGGGAAACTTGATGTTAAGTTCACTTTAAGTCCTTGCACTCCCAGTAAGTCAAGTGAGACACAACACAGTGTCCCTCAGTAAAGATTTTTACTGGACCTAAGGAGATTTTCCAAGATGATCTTGGCTACCTTTCAAAATGTATCACTGAGGATGCTTTTTAATCTGCTTTCTATGTCCAAGCTTTATCTGTATTCATACTGAATTTTTAAAAGACTCTTTGGACATCTTATTGTATGAAACATCAGCAACAGATGTAATTACAATTAAAAAAAAGAGACAACTAAGGTGGCTTTACACAGCTGTCCCTTTTCCCTCTGGGACTTATTAATGTTAAACAAACAAGATTCTGGTTGCCTTGCAGTCTTTTTTCAAACTGTGCTGTCTGGCCTGTATTGTTTCATTATTAATTTGTTTTTTTAGATTTACATTTACCACATAGCACAATAATTTTGCAGGGTTAATTACTTGTGAATAGGAACAGTTTTGTTCTGAAAAATTACCCTGAGCATCGAGTGTGATCAGATGTGGTCTGTAGATTGGAGATATTTTAGACAAGGCTTTAATTAATGAAAATTTAACACTACAAAGTTATCAGTCAGAGCTGGCTTTTCTGACTTGACATTTAGCCTTCTGTGGAGCTGATCATGGCTTGCAGCTGAATCTGTTTTTCCTAGGTGTTTTATGTAAGCCAAAACACAGCCTGCATGATTATACCATAGTTGGCTTTGAAATAGTAGCAAGGATTTGAAGACAAGGAAGATTTTTAATGTTTTTTGCACTTATGACTTTAATAGGAGGAAGAGGTTCTGAGCAGCATGGAAGACCTTTAGAGCAAAAGTTGTACTTTGTCTGATCCTTTCTACCTCATTTTCCTCCACAGGGCTTTGATCTGGGATTAGATCTGTGTGTATAGATCTGTATATATATAGCAATTGCTTATTCATGGCAGAATGGTTTCTTGAAGTTCCTGCAAACCTGGAAACAGGGTGAGTAGGGTGTCTCTAGTTCTCTGAGTGTGCAAACCCATAATACACTCTTCAACACAGAAAATGATAGCCAGGCTTATTACCTATCACATGCAAAATACGTTTCCCCTGATATTTTGAAGTCACTACTACAACAGACCTCGAGGACTTCTTGTCCCCTTTGTGTGCATGTGTTATTCCCAATGTCAATGACAGGAGTTATCTATACACATCAGGAGGATTTACCCATTGGACTAAACTTAAGACAGCAGGGAATATGAAATTCTCTCTTCCCTAAAACTGGACAATTTAAGCATTATTTACCTCTGCATTTTGTGATTTTTTTTTTTTTTTCCTGAGGAGACAGTTGTGGAAGTAGCAGCTGGGAAATGTGATGTTCACACAGTGTTACCTTGATGGAAATTGCAGCTCAGAACTCTAGGTCAAGTGTGGCACAGAATCTTGAATGATGGAAGTGAGCTGTTTTTCTGGAAAAAGGAGCCATTAAGTTTGACATTTGTTAAAGCTGACTGTCACTTACTGGCTTAATAAATAGCTGACCAAAGAGAGGATTCCTTCTTTTTGTGTTACATATTTTCAAGTATTCAAATATTATTTTCAGTTGTTAGGCTAGATGTTAAGTTCTCCATATTATTGCAACTTGTTGTACCTCTTCTACTACCATCTGAATAGCTGATACCTTTAGCCACATTAGTGACATTTATATACATATATATCCATTTATATATATTAGATATATCTGATGGTGTTGCACTTGATGTGCTCAGCTTTTTTCCACTATATAATTGCATTAGGGGATAGTAATAGTGTGACATAAACAAGGGTACAAGAATGGTCTAGCTTATAAATGCTTAATCTTTCATTTTACGGGCTTTTTTATTTTTTTTTTTCCCAGTTTTTGAATCTCAATTGATAATCCTGTGTGGAAGCTGTCAGGCGTGGGGCACTCCAGCATGTTTAGAGCTCCTACACATTTCCAAATTGAGAAGTGTGAGAGAGAGTCATCTTAGCAAGAGAAAAGCTCCCTCCTGTGGAAGAGATGAACCTCTGCTGTGACAAGGAGCAACCATAAGGGCATTACACCGTGATTTTAAATTAGCAGGGAAAGGGGTTACAAGCACGGTGGGACTTTGCAAATACTGGAATGCAAAACCCTGCTCCTGTTATTTTTTTTCTCAAAGTAAATTTTTCATATTTTGTATGGCTTATATCTATAACTGTATGTCAATTATAACTGTTGTCTGTGAGTAAAACTGGATTGTTTAAATAATATAATGTGGCCACAGTGAACTCTATAGTGTTAAAGGGATCTAAAGCAGCTGATATTATTAAGATTTTGCTTTCTGTAGCTCTTTGCTGACAAACCTTAGTATTTTGGAAATTTGTGTGAATTCGAGTTTGTAGAGCTTACTTTTAAAAAACTTTTACTTTTTTTACTTTTTTACTTTTCCTTTTTTTGTTTTCCTTTTTTTTAAAAAGTCTGACAATCTGTATATCTTGAAGATCTGTATTAAAATGTTTCTGAATCTTGCTGTGATTGGTGTTCCTTGATAGAAAGCTCTGCTGAGCTCAAAGCCCCATGTAACTTGGAAAATAAAGCTGCACAGAAATTATAAAGATGAAATTGTGGTGGAGGGGCTGGAACTAGAACGTGGTATCAAATTTCTGCTAGAAACAGTATTTTTTACCTTTGAGCTGAATATGATTCATGCTTGTGATCTGAAGGTGGAAGGCTGCAGCTCATTAGCACATTAACAAAACCCTGAGGCGTTTACTCCCAGAAATGCTAATGTTATTCCCCTGAGAATGAAGCACTTTTGGGAATGGGGGAGATGAATCTTTATTATTACAGTGGAGTTTTAATTTTACCAATTCCAATTCATTGCCAGCTAAAGATGACTGAGACAGCACCGAGCACTCTGACCCACCGCAAAAAAAATGCTGTGTTGAGATTGGATGCTGGGATCATCCTGTCCATTGGCCAAATGGTAAGTTGTCATCTTGTTCAGAGATAGCTGGGTTCTAGCTTGTGACACTCAGCAGCACAACTTTGGTTACAAAGCATGAGATTAGCATACATTACTATGTAATGGTCAAGTGAAGTTTGGTTTCTCAGTTAGAAATGTTGTGGTGTACCTGCTTATTTTCAGTTTGGAGTCATCATTGAAGCAGGGAATCGTTGCTCTGTTAAGGTAGTATTATACTCAGTTATGAGAACTGTGAAGGTGTTATAATTTGGGTGAACAGTCCTAATGCTTGTGCATGTCAAGAAATGCAAATTCCGGACTTGGGGGCAAGCAGAAATTTTCACGAGGCTGTGCATGCAACAAAGGCTCAAGTCAAGGTCATGATAGATGTTGGCAGAAGTGCCTTATCAGTGAGGATCGGTGCTGTGTGAGCCCCCTTGGACCTCTCTGATCTCCTTCTGCACCACAGAACACTCGCTGGCTGCTGCTCTTCAGGTGCCAGTTTGGATTAAAAGAAAATCAACAATAGCAGAGGGGAGTCCCTTTTGCATGTAACCCATGCTCTGGGTTCTGCAAGACAGCCGTGTTCGTGTGGGAGGAGAAGTGGTCTGTGCAGCTCTGATGGGGATAGGGAGGCTTTTAGTTGTCGTTTACAGCTCACTAATGGCTCCTGGGATTGCGAATTCCTTCCTGGCATATGAGCCACCGTGCCTGGAGGGATCAAGATGTGTGAATGTGGCACCTGGGCACTTGGTTCAGCGGTGCACTTGGCACAGTTAACAACCGGACTCGATCATCTTAAAGGTCTTTTGCAACCAAACCAATTCTAGGGTTCTGTATTTCCTGTTAGTAGCTCCATCTACTGATTGTCTGGAGTATTTCTGATCGCTGCTTTTTTCCCTACGGCAATTTTTGTCTGGTTTCTTAAGAAATTGAAGCTCATGTTGAGCGCACTTTGTATTGCTCTTCTCCTTTCTCTGCACGCCTCCACCCCCAATATTGAAAGTTTTTTATGAAAATCAAAAGAGGGGCTGAGGGCCCCTACTGAGTTGCTTTAGTTTTATGAAAGTACAAATCTAAACACAGTACACTGGATGAAATTAGTGCCCATAATGATAGAGGGGCTGCATCATGAGTTGAACCGTAATGTTATAACACCAGGGAATCAACAGAAAATCACAGGAAATTAGTCTTTATAAGTCCCATGGTTCATCATGATTCACTAAGAGAACACAAGTAAAATAAAAGTTTTACTGTTTTTAGTATTCATATGGCAGTGATTTCTGCAGAGCAACTGTGACCTGGAAGAAGTGGCTGTAAATCTCTGAATCCTCGGCAGTTAATTTTCTTTTACTGCAGCTGTGGGAATTGAAATAATGATAAAAATACAGAGGAGAAAACTTACCAGAGCTGGACATTTACTCTTGACTGGAATGACTAATAATTTGTACCTGCTCACTTTAAATGAAGTCTTGTCTGAAAACTTGTAGACTATGGTTGAAACTATTTCAGAGACATCTTCTGATGTTCTTGAAGTAACTTAAAACACTGGTTTGCATCACCTATTGCAGATTGTACTAAAGCCTTGTCCTCCTTCCAGGAATTCTGCATTAAACAACAATTCTGCAATAAACAACAGGAAACTCAGAGCTGGTCTGAGATTTGACAGTTAACCCAATTTTTTTTCACTGCATCCTAAAGACCATTGTCACGTTTAATTTTTCATTTCCATTTTAATAAAAGCCCAGGAGGTGAGGAGATGGGCTAAAACTGATTCCACCCTTTTTTCTCCTCAATTGAAATTCTTTGTTATGTAGTATAAAACTAGCTTGAATATTGTTCAGCAACATGAGCAACATGCTTGGCTTAGCTGAGCTGTGCCAACTTCTACTTGGAGTACCTCCTCTGATGTCTTGAGGAGTGCTGCTCCACAGAGTAATGATGTACTCAGTTGCTATGCCCTCTGTGTTGGAGGTATAAGGGCTTCCTTGCTTATTCCATACCATCTAACATGGTACTGCTTCTCCCACCCTCTTGGATTATTACATTAAAAGTTACTGAATGATTGGGGGCCTTGTATTTTGTAAATAGCCACTTACTCCAGAGCTTTCAAGGAAAACGAGTAGTAGATTGAACAGCAAATGCTGAGAGAAGAGAAAGGCTTTTCTGTCTCTCCATTACAGATGAAAGATGAGAGAGAGGGGATGTAGGTAGGCAATGACAGGATGTGAAACCTGAGAAGTTTGAGATTTGTATGAATCTGTGGAAAGTTACTGAAAGACACTGAGTTTAGCGAGCCAGAAGCTTAAAGCTACTTAGCAATAAAAGCCATGGGGAGTTCAGTAGGAGATTTTTCAGGTTTGGAACAGACTTTCTAGCAAAACTGAGAAGCATTAAAGTTGGCTGAGATGGAGACTACCAAAAGAGATGTCTTGGGAGTTCTCTGCTATTGTTACACTTTCATATGGAGACTCCTAGTGACTGTTTCCCCCAGTGCCTGTGCATCAAAAGCACACTCTGAGATTCTTCTGTCTCCTTCATGACTCCAAGCCCATGCCCCTCCAATGTTTTCCCTTTAGACATCTGGATGGAAGCTGGTGTCTCAGATTAAGACATGATTCCTCATGGATTTGTAGAATGGAGTATAAAGACAAAATTGTGTATTTAGCTGTCCTAGTCGTGGTTCTCCAAGAATAAAGGGCAGACTGCAAGGTGGAAAATAATCTCCTTTTCTTGAGCTGTTGGAACATCTCTCGGTTCTGGAGCTAAGTATATGGCAGCATTCCTTCTTTGCTTGCTTATTTGTGTTTCAGAGCTGCTGCTGGCATTGCAGGGCTGAAGCAGAAAGAAGTCAAAATTGATAGCTGCTTTTATTAAAAGAAAAAAAAACACAAAAAATCCTGCAAGAAATTTTTCAGCTCTGTAAGTTCATTCTACAAATGATTCTGTACCTGTTTCCAGGTGCAAAATGTTAGTTCTTGCTCCCTGGAGAAAAAGAAATGTATTTTCTAAGATAGGGTAAATGATCTGTAGAGGAAATCTTTTCACTGTATTTATAACAAATAAGCTCCCTGGAAGTGTTTCCTCAACGTCTTTAAATTATACTTAATCTGTATTAAAATTGTTAGGTCTAAATTCTTACAGATCTGTTTTAAGCAAGGGCAGTTCATTCACATTTTAGCATATTAGGGCAAATTTGTCTCTCCTGTTTATTCCATGTGTTTTGGTGGAACTTTGTACCAGAAGTGCATTTGGGACTTCTGTTTTCATACCCATCTACCTCTTATCTACCTTAAGGGTAGCAAAGTTCAGTGTAAACATTGTGAATTTAAAAATCAGGTAACCAGCACATTTATATCTGGCTATTACCTTGTCCTGATACACAAAATGTTGCCAGACTTGAACAGAATAGATGCATGATACCTTTTTTCTTTGTTTGTTTTAATGCTTTTTAAATTTTTGGAGAGTAGTCATATAGTTTCCATACTGAACAGGGATGACTTCAGTTCCGTTTTCATACCCTGGTGTTTCCTACATTTGTTCAACTTACCTGTAGCATAGCATTGAGCCAGAGATGTCTCAGAAGCCAGAAGTGAAAATTATACAGTTAATTAAAAAAAAACTCCAACAACCAACAAATAAAAAAAAAAGCACCAACTCAGATTATATATTCTATGCACAGAATTGGCCACAGCTTGTTCTCTTCAGAAAGTCTGAAATGTGGAAGTGCCTTAGGTGAATGTGTTGGCATAGCAACTTAGTGAGCAGGAGGGTGCCATCCATCACAGTCAGAAGAGAGGGTATGTTGTGATATTGCACTACTGCCACTTGTTTGCAGATCTTCTGGGCTTCACAGTAAACTCATAAAGATTCAGTTCAAACTTCTGAGAACATTTGGTCCCTGTAGCACATTGACTGTAGCTTCATGTGGTTATTACTGACAGTGTTGTCACAGTCACTCCTGTAACAGCAGGCTCCCAACCTTGTCTTTAGTGTGCTGAGAAGGAGCAGAAGGTCCACTTAACCACCAGCACAGTTCTTGCCTTCATCATCATCCACTGATAGTTTATTATTTCTTCTCCCAGGATTGTTCAAAGGCTGCAGATCCTAGATGGAATACCAGGCTGTTCCTCACTATTGGAATAAAGGAAGTAGGAATGCCTGTTCTGGGGGAGGGAAACAAAGGTGTTACAGAGAGCATGCAAAGCACTTGTACATGGATAGCAGCATCAAGACTCAGTTTTATCTGAGTGAGGACAAACAGAATATCAGAGCCTTATACTTGGTCAATGCAGACATGCTGCTATGAATTTATTTATTTTTTATTTAATTTTTATTTAATTTTTTATTTAATATTTTTTAGCATAAAAATAGTTGGAGAGGCTGTCTGTCATGACAATGATATTGCTTTTAAGCTGTGTCTCCAGTGGAGATGTGTTTGTGTCTATGTGGTCATAGTGCAATTCACTGTGGGTCAAAAGATTACAGACTCCAATGGCTGCAGTGGGAGAACTCACAAAACCTTCCAGCAGAGACAGAGAAATGACACAGAGAGAACTGCTTTGTCTCTTCCTAACTTGATGCCACCTTGTCTTCCTAAGGCTGAAATCCAAGGCTCATAGGGATTTGAAGCCCTAAATCCTGGTATCAGGGAGAGGGGGGAAAGGAAGCAGTCCAAGGAATGCTGATGAAAGGTGCCAAGCATGCAGCAGGGAAGGCCTGTGGGCAGGAGTGTGTGTCTCCTGGCCAAAGGTCTGGATTAGCTGCACTAAAGGGGACTTCACAAGTCATCACTTGGGAGCTTTGCAGAGTTAAGGGAAAACGTGGATGTTGTAGGACTCATTATACTGCTCTTTGTGCTTCAGGGTTGACGTAGCTATTAAGGCAACATTCGCTGCTTTGAATTTTGAAAGTCATAGCGTTTGTTTCAGATCTCAGAAAGAGGTTAGCATTTACAACGTGCCACATCCTTATTTAATCAAAGCTTTGCATGAGGCTTTAGAGGAATGGAACGCACAGCCCATACATTAAAATTTTACATAGCAAGTGAGGGCATTGCTCTTAACTAAGTGAAAAAGAACCTCTGCTGGCATGCACAAGCCTTGTATTACAAAGCTTATGCTTTTATTGTACAGAAGTTCTGTTCACATCTTTTATACATTTTATAAATGAGGTCTTGTGATTCTTTGCTACTCTGGAATCAGTAACGGTCACTGCATTTGCAAACCAATGGACAGGGCTTCAGCTGAAGCCAGTAAAACCTTTTTACCATATGAAAGTAGAGCATGGAGACTTGAGGTATATTATTTCTGTTTCATATACTGTCAGAGGGTAGGAGATACCAAAGCCTGTAGTAGCTGCACTAAACACAAAGCATTGTGCAAAATCTAATGATCTAATACAAACCCTATGCAGGACCACAACTGTAATAATCATGACTAATAACTTGCTTTTGAGTCCTGTTACTCAGCAGTATCAAAGAGCTATCTGCTACCTCTAAATATAGATGAAAAAATGACACAAATATTTGGAATGTTAATTTCATTTTTCTTATGAAATTGACAGCTGGACACTTCATGACAAAAATCTTGAAGTCTCTCATTTATAAAACCTCCAGCTATGAGTGCTTTGTGGTTTCAGCTGGATGGTCAGCATTTTCTGACACATATATTTAAACCTAGTGTATTGTGTCCTGAATTATGGAGTTCTGTATAAAAATGGAAATATTAATTAGAAAAAGCCGTGTAAAGAACAAACTTGTCTGGAGATTTAAATGCTGCTGACTGAATAATGCATTGAACTGTCACAGCAACAGTTTTGTAGTGATTCAAATTCCATGAATATTCAACAGAGTTGTCCTGAATGAAAAAATTCAAAACATTTCTTTCCAGGGAACTGCTGAAGTTTTGGGTCTCCTTCACTAGGAGCAAATGTTTTCTTTGTTAGCAAAGCACTTGATGAGCAAGAGGAAGCTGATGGGACTATTTTGCTTTACCTGTGTGGAGCTGCTGGTATGGATACTCAACCAACATCATGTGAATAATCTTCTAATTAAGAATAATTCAAATCACATTTCTGTATGCCTAAACCTCACCTAGGGGAGAAGGATATAAGAGCCAATAAATGCCATTTACACCTTCCCCAGGGAAGAGATTAACCCATTCTCATCCTTTCTGTCCCTGCTGCTGTCTATAAAAGGGGTGCTGCAATCCTGGGCAGCAATGTTCAGTCTCAGGATATGGGACATGTACAACACAGTTGCTCTTGCTGTTCTCTCCTTCCTTTTAAAAGCATCTTGCTCCATCTGCAGTCTTTTTCTTGAGCATCCTCTGACCTGAATTGCTACAGGAGCTTCTAGGTTGTAAGTGAAGACATGCCCTATTTGGCATTAATGTGGGCATGAGGATTTGCCTTAGGAAGGGTATGCTTCCAGCTGGCTGAGAATAACAACCCTCCTGTGCCAGGATTAGCTGGATTTATTCATTGCAGCATTTTTTTAAATGCTGGAGAGCTAGGACACTGTGGGTCTTACTTGTTTTTTATTAGGACAGAAGTTTGTGGATTTATGTGTCACATGTATTTCTTCCAGTGTGCCAGTGTGCATATGTGTTCATATGTACAAACATAATAAACCAAAGTAGATAAATTATTGCAGAATAAAATCACTTTTCTAGCAATGTAGAGACAGAACTGATTCACTACTATAAGTCTAGAATCATTAAAGCATGTTATCTAGAAACTTCTGCCAAAATGCTGGTAAACAGCACTTCTGTCTGAAATGCAGATTTCAGTTTGGTCAGTTTTTTCATTTTGAAGAATTCTCTCTAGGAAAAGTCTAGGAAAGAAGTTAATGGAGAAGATTAGTTCTAGATTTTCATTTCAGTAAGATCTGCCCATATAATGTTGTCTTAGAGTGGAGATGCAGCTGGCTAGCTCACTGTTCCAGTGGTGCATAACATCAGTGTCACTGACAGTTCTTTTGGCTGTAGAAACCTCCAACTTTCAACAATCTCAAATCCTTTTTATTAATATTCAGTGCAAGAAAAGATTTCTTTGCTAATTCAATTCTGTCCTAAATCTTTACTTTTCACACTATATTACTGGAACTAACTGCATGTTAATAAGGTCTACATTAACCATCTGCATTTTAGCACAGTGGATCTGTGTGTCCTAGAAACAGTAGCTTTGAGTGAAAAACATAAGGTACTTTGGACTGTATTCTCAGAAAGCACTGGCTACATACCCTCTGCTGTCTGACTCTCTAAAACCACTGCCTTTTTTCATACAGTGTTTTCAGCTCATTTAGATGGCCATAGTAGAGAAGAAATTGTTTAGTTCCTTTATTACAAAGATCAAAAGTCATGTTTACCATTTACATACACAATTTACAAATTATTCACACAGGGAATAACAGATATGCAGGAACTGGCAGCTTACTTCAACCCAAGCTGGGGACAGGACAAGTGCAGTTGTTTCCTTGCTTCCCTGTCTTTACTGAAATAACAGATATGTCTGTTTTGTGTTGTCTCTTTGTGTTAAACACTGATCTAGTGTTTATGAAGCACCTTTAGTTATAACTATGCAAATGCTTACATGCTTATCTTTATTTGAAAGAGTGCAGTGCATGTATAAACATGCACTGGGATCTGTATCCTTCACACTACTGAGTGTTTGTTGGTCAGAAATCTTGTCAATTAATACAGTGGTCAGGCTTGAAAATGTTGATTTGTAAGATTTAAATGATTCCAGCAATATGCTATTAAAATAAAAATGGAGTTTAATATCAGAACTGTTACTCTAAGAATTAAATTAAGTATAGCTGCTGTATCTCTCAAGGATACTGTATGATCTTAAGATAGGTCTTAGCCATGTTGTTAGATGTCTTGGATAACACAACTGGTTTATTGCTCTTCCTTCATCAGGTTTTATACCATTTCCTAATGATATTTCAAAGACTGGGAAACTTGAAAAAGAATCCTCTTTGAGAGATTTGGTAAATTAGCAAACTTCACAGAATATTTTACAGCACTTAACAAAAGGGAGAATGAGTTCCCAAATCACTTGGTATGAGAGCACAATACCAACAGTGCATTAGCTGCCATTTAGCTAAACATACAAATAACCATATTTTTAATTTTTGGTGTCCACTGGGAGGACAGTACAACAAAATGCATGAAGGAACACACCAATTTTGAAGCAAACACAAATGTAAATACAGAAATCACCAATGTGATGTTAATCCAAATTCTAAGCAATGAAGCAAAACACTTCACAAAAGTTGTTACATCTAGTCAGAATAATCCAAATACTTACAACAGTATTATGATATGACTTTCTACCCAGCTATCAGATATCCTTTACCATGAACCTTTCAGTATTCTCAGGGTGACAGATAAAGAACGTTGCAGATGCCGTGGTAAACTTAAAATACAGTAATAGGCAAATATTTTAGTGGCACCACCTGTATATACAATGTAGTTGTTGGAATCTTATGGACAAAGGAGTGTTACAGTATGCCTTGGTTAAGGCTTCTTGCTGGTTTAAAAGGTAGATTTCTCTTTAGGGAGATTGTCCAGCAGTATTGGTTTCCCATCTCTTCAGTGGAAGGTCTCTTTATTGATCCACATGAGACTGCGTGTTTCATTTGGTTTGCATTCGTACTCAATACTGCCAAAGCTGTTTCCCCATTGGCAATGATCCCGTTTGTGGTAGTTGTAGAATTTGACTTGCCAGACTGTCTCAAAAACGCCAATGTCATTAAACTGTGAGGAAGAGGGAATACCAGTGTTAGTCAGCTGATTATTTTGTTGGTTTCTCTCTCATCCTGAGAAATAACACTTGTGAAACTGCAGAACATAAAACACTTGCTATAAGGACTATTGTTCCTCAGATCAATAAATCAAAGACCTGTAAAACCTACTCTAGCAATCAGAAAGTCTTTTATGTGCAGCCATACATAAAACATGAAGGATCAGATTCTGCATGTACTGTTCTCTTGCACTCACATCTGGGATAGGTGAGGGAGTAAAAATATTCAAATTGCCATACAGATAAATGTTACTAACAACAAGAATCAAAGCCATAATCTTTCTTAAGATGACACAGCTTGTATATACTGCAGATCATGTACCAGTGATCTGCAGTGATACAGACCATCACTTTACCTTTATACCATACCTAGAGGCTGCAGTTGGGATTGGGAAGATTCTTCTTTTCTTAGTCTGAAACATTTAATGTGTCTGCATTTTGGAGTCTTGTGTCTGCAGTGTTCTTGACTGAGATGTGTGGTTCTTACTACTTTCCTGGGATCCTATTTCACATTTGAAATGAGACATAAGCAAGGGAAGTTCTGTGTGCATATCTGTAACTGCTAGTTGGACTGTGATAGTGCAGCTGAGTAATAGGAGCTAGTAAAGACATAATCAGTGTGCTTACCAGGTAAGTTTCTAATGAAGTGAAGTAGTGAGACATTGACTTTAAATTGTCTGTGCATGCAGCCTTGAAGTGAAGGAGACTATGGCTATAGTATGTTCTGTAAAATAATGGTGTTTTTCTTCTTTAAGCCACTGCTAGACACCTGTACAACATCAGAAAAACCTCAGTGAGGTTGTCAAGCATAATTTATGATTTCAGTTTTGGTAATGGAAATGGTAATGGAAAATTTGAGTTCCTATGCCTTGAGACATTGCAGAGAATCTCAAGTGTGAAGCCTGTGTGTATTGCCATTGGTCCCAAGCCAGTATGGCTTGTTGATTGTGTTACGTTGTTAGAAGATACTAAATAGTGAATTTAGTGCTACTGAATGGCGCCATTCTTCTGCATTTTTTTCCTTTAAGTATTTCCATCACTCACTTTAATGACAGCTTCTTCACTTGACTGTTTTCCATTCCTATCATGTGCCTGGGAGCTGATCTTTGATCATCTGCCTGCTATAATCACACTTGCAAAGTCAGTATGAAAGACCTTTCACAGAGAAATTGTTCCTGATTTACAAGCAGAGTCTCCTGTATTCAGATTTTTCAGAAGGACACATTTGTTGTTGTTTTTTCAATTCAAGATGTGGTTTGTAAGGTTCTGGTGTGTGGCAGACATTACTTTAAACCTTCCCTCCGCCCACTGTAGTAAGTTAAATTTAGCCTTGACAATAGCAGAAGTTGCTGTGTCCTGTAAGTGGAGGGGTTTTATTCAGCTCCAGTTACAAGTGTTACCTTGAAGGAGTAACTGAAACACTTCTGCCACTTCCTTTGACTAGGAAAGAATCAGATGGACAGGCTATTTTATCTCTCCCAGCAACTAAAATCTTAATTAGGGATTTTATTTTTAATCAATCATCTTTGATAGTACATGATACACTCATAATGCATGACAGTAAAGGTTAAGCACATTGGATATTAATGTACACAGTCCACAAAACTCATCAGAGGGGGAGCATCAGCCATGCTCAGAGTAGAAACTAACGAAGAAAAGGCATTTCTAATAACATTTGTAGAAGGTGTTATGACATAGGAGCAGCATTTCATTTCATTAATGTATGAAGGATCTGAATTTCAAAAAGACAGATGAAGAAAGAAAAATTAGTTTTCCTTCAGTGACCCAGTTTGCTGAGCTACCCTGAGTAAGTTTGTCTGCTGTGGGTTTCCAGGAGAAGGAAAAAATTAATTGCAGAGCTTTTCTACTACCATGTGCCTCCCCCAGCCCAGTACTTAGCATACACAGAAGCTTTGTGGTGTGATGAACATTCTGCATCCTCAGAGCTCCCCTGAATTCCCATGGCTCCTGCAGCTGAATCCTGGCTGCTCCACTGAGCTTGTATATGGGCATCCCCAGGGAGGAAGAACAGCCCTACTCTTTGCAGGTCAGGCTTCAGGTTAAGTGTATTTCCCTGTCTGCTCTTCTCTGTCATCTGGTGCTGTAGGAGTAGTTATTTAATCACTCCCTCTACATTTCCATGCTGAGATGATTTGATAGCTATTACTGCAAATAGAGTTCTAGCTTCTTTATTCAATCTTAGACTAGTCTGATCAAGAATAAAATTAGGCCCAAAAACAGGCTTCTAACTTAGTTTACACCATTTGCCAGACAGTTTATCAGTTTCTGGATAGTGTGCATGATTGACCAGTCAGGTAATAGAAACAGATAATCAGATTCTGGAATTCAGAAACAGGATTGTTGTTTAACATGTATAAACTCTGGCATGTCTACTAGCCAATTAATATAGCAACACAAAGAATTATCTGCTTAAAGTTTCAAAGCAGATAAGAAGGAAGTTCTTATGGACCTTTATGGACCATAAGTCATTCAGACACTAGATGGGCAGTATCAGACTAGTTTTTGAATGCAGGACTGATCTCACAATCTATTTCTAATGTGAAGTCAGTTTTTCTGCCTCAAATACTGTCCTTACCACTGCAGGATGCATCAGGATTCTGTCTTTTCTAGAAAAGGAAGTGGAAGCAGAAGTTCCTCATAGCTGAAGGAAGCAAGAAAATTTAAAGCTATTTGCAATGAGCTCAGTTTTGAAGATTCATAAAGTAGGTATTCAAAGTAGTTTTCAGACTGGGGTATCTGAGACTTGTTCCCTAAATCTTTTACAGCTCTGCTTAGCTAAGCAGCTAAATGATGAGTTAAACATGTAAATCCTTATTGAGATGCCTATGTTTAATACTTAAAACTATCAATTCTGGGTATCTAAGTCTCTACTGATCAACCTATCTATCAAGATCAGTTCCTAAAAGGAATTGAGGACCTGCTTAATGCTTGAAAATCCTCTTAGCTTCATGGTTAATATCTCAGGATCTGATCTGTAAAAGCAACTCTTCAGGCAAATATTGTGGCTACTCATTCTGATGCTGCAACAAACCATGTCAGGGCTTGTAAATGAAAATCAGACTCTCCTTACATTTCAATCGTGATTTGACTTGGTTTCCTCCAAAGGAAAAGTTAAACTTCTAGGTTTTCAGAGTTCACTTCAGTGCTGCACTTAAGGGTAAAGGTGACCATCAAAATAAGGATGCCTTAATCAAAGCAGATGGTTTTTTGGGAATGTTGTCCTTTCTCCTCCTATTACAAGGTACAACGATCAACAGTGGCATCCAGCAGTTGTGTTCAGCTTGTTGTGAAATAATACTGTTTGGTTTTCCTGGGTGTTAAAAGGAGATGGTTGCATATAGAAATGATAAATGTAATACTCCATACTAGTCTTAATAACATAAGATTATGAAATAGTAATGTGATGTGGGTCTCCAAAATTAAGTCAGGCACACTGTAATTATTAGAAACACCAAATGGAAATGTTACAGTTCTTACTCAGGAGGGGATTACTATACTAAACTATGATTCCAGAAAAAAAATACTGAAGACCAGCATGAAATCTTGTGTGCTGTAAGCAAATGTCATAAAATGCTGAAATCTGGTGGGCTTGCATAAGCTGGAACAGACTCTTAAGAAAGCTTCAGATGAAGATGGCTTACTGCCCTGATTCCTTTTTTTGGTACAGAAGATATGGAATAAACAGCAGGAATCTCTCACAACTATAGTCAGGAGAAGGAGAAAACAAACTGACAAAACTGAGCATACCACTCAAAGAGTCCTGTGGAAATCTGCCTGCTGCTCTTCTGTCAGCTCTGCTGCCTTGTGGGCTGGAGCTTTTGTCATCTCACTTTGGGGCCATGGAGCCTCTCTTTATGACTGGGGAGAGGATCGACTTAAATATGAACTTAGGTTCGTGGATGCAGATAATGGAAACATACGGGAAAAGAGAGAAAACAGCCTTGGGTGTTGTTCTCTTGCATGCTTTTAGTCTCTGGCAGGTCCTCAGGCATGCTGAAGGTGACAGATGGAAGGGGAGAGCAGTCACCCCTTGTGCTTGGGGCATGCTCTGCACTAAAAGAAATGGTGCTGCCAGGCAAAAGAGGGTCCCTGTATGCCAAGGGATTGGATTTCTGGCCACGAACCTCTGGGAGCTGCCTGATATATGTATTATGTCCTGTAGAAGGGGTGGGAGGTTCAGCTCACAATTCTTTCTGCTGCAGCACCCCAAAGGGTTTTGCAGGTTGTCCAGGGGTGACAGGCCCCTAAACCAGGACAGAGGTCTCTAGAAAACCTCCTCCTTCTTCCTTGTCCCTGTTGTTTTCCTGGGAGAGAAGGCAGCAGGACTTGTATTTTCCAGCTATGTTCTGGCCAGTGACCTTACTGACACAAAGCAAAGAGGAAGGCAGCAGCTGTGATCAGACTTTGCCCTGGAACATTTCACCACACTCTCTCTGGGAGTCAACCCCCTGCTGCCCTCCCTTGTCCTCTCGTGCCAGGCTTGGAGAACCACATACCTGCATGTTGACTTGGATGGGCTGTCTCTCCCCACTTTTGGTATGGGGCACCCCTTCCGTGTCGTAGATCCCTGTGTAAGAGGCCACCTGTGCATCCCGTGATTTTTCTTCCAGTGGGACATTGACACCGCCAATGCCCATGGTCCTACAGAAAGAGAGAATCCAGCCTTTCAGCCCTGAATTCCCCCTTCCTTGGCAATTTGGAGCCAGCACGTGGGTTTGCAAGCCTGGTAGCCTCTGTGCTGGGAAAAAGCTTCAGGGATTTTAGCAGGCCTGCCTGTGCTGCTGACTCACTGGGGCTCCTGAAATATGTCAGGGCTCTGCAGTCACCCAGGGAAGGAGTAGCAGGGAGAGGCAGGCGGGATCTGATTTCGAATGGATAGGGAGAGGTTAGTCGAAGCTCTTCTGCGGGGCTGCGCCTCCACCCAGAGCTGGTTCCCCATCTGGTCTCGGCTTTGCCGCGCCGCAGCGAGGCTGGGGCACTGTGTAGGAGGGGTTTCTTCCTCCAGCGAAAACCGCGGGGAAGGAGGGAGAAAAGGAGCTGGGCTTGAAAAAGCTCCGGGAGAAGGTGGGGAGGGAGAGGGAAGGCAGCGACTCCCAAGCGTGGCCGCCCCCCCGAGCCGGCCAGGCGGAGCACTGGGAACAGCTGGCCAGGGACCCAGAAACGGGGAGGGAGAAATCACGGAACCCCCGCGCTGTCAGCCTGCCAGGAAAAAACATTAAACGTCTAAAAATAAAGCAGCGGGGAGGGAGGGGAGGCCCGGGGGAGCCGCCCTGAGGAGGACGGCCGCACTTACGTGGCCTGGACGGTGCCGGGTCGGAGCGACACCTCGATCTTGTATTTGGCCCCGGTCAGCAGCTTGATGGTGCGGTTCTGGCCGAAGCGCTGCCCGTCCACCTTGAAATACACGGCCCCGTCGTTGGGCTGGATCTTGAGGGAGACGCTGATTTTCACGAGGCCGGGGATGTCGCCCATCGCTTGCGGCCGGGGGGGCCTGCGGGCTCTGCGCGCGTCTCGCCCCCTCCGAGGAAAGGCGGCTGGCCGGGAGCGAGGGAGAGGAAGAGGAGGAGGGAGAAGGAAGAGGAGGGGCTGCCGGATCCCAGCCAGCCCAGCCCTTCCCAAAAGCAGCGGATGAGATGCTTGATTATTTATTTTCCCTCCCACTAATCGCGGCGTAGCATCTGGGCGGTTGATGTGTCTTTTTTTTCCCCCCCTCTTCTTCCCC